GAGTTCGTATCTTGGTGCGGAGAATGGCAAGGCTCACTGATGATGCCGGCGAAACGTTTGAGAATGTATCGAGTCCACTGTCAGATGCTGGGAATCATGCGACTATGATGCTGGCAAAACGTTTGAGAATGTACCAAGTCCACTGTCTGATGCTGGGAATCATGACAACTGTATGGCAGACGACTTCGGACTAGGTGCGTTCTACATGGTCTCCCTGAAAACAAGACCAAGTTGCGACAACATACTAATACCACAAACATACACGTTTTTATTTTATACGGTTCTTCTAATGACCTGTTTGCATTTTTAAATCAACTTGAGATAGGACTTGTTCATCTGTCCTTTAACAAAGCCCACATCAGAATCCCACAATAAATTTTATCCTGGTTTCCTGTCGGCTCTTAACTATTTTGGGCTGACTCAAGCCCGATGAAACTTGGTTTTATTATCCTAATTATGGCCTCTGATTTGCTATTCAATGTGTACTTTATTTTAAAATCTATTTACCACTTTCATCGTGCCTTCCTGTCCCCACATTTGTATATCTACTCGAAAACACACATGTACACGAACCAATACACTCATTCGGCGTGCAGGTCTCGATAGTCAGTACTCCTGGGCAGCGCGCCCACCAAGCCAGCGTACTGGTTTGCGGCTCTCTTTCCAGTGACGAAGTTGGTGCTGCAGAATCCCATTCGACTCCCTCGTGGATCGCAATCACCGGTGGCTTCTTCCCGGACGAAGGTGACGCTAGTAAAGCTCATATTTTCGAAGAGTCATTAGGTTCGGTATCTGGGTCTCAGGTTGGCTCTTTGTCTGTCGACGACCATTTAACTAGGGTAGCATCGGACTGTACTGGTATCGAGGTGCTTGGGCCGCCCAGTATAGTTGGTGATCTAAACTTGACAGCGATGGAAAAAGAAAATAAACACCGCTTGTTACGTTGGCGCGACAGCCGAGACAGATTGATCGATAAGGCCCAATGGATCATTCCTGCATATGGTTCGGCTTTCAGGGTGAGTGCTCTTTTGATGTCTTTTATAATTACTGTATGTGTATGTATGCAAACATAGGCCAGCAATTTCTTATTTTGTTGAGTAATACTGACGTTTTTAAAACATTCATTTAGAGGGCAGATCGGAATTTCTCCCTCTGATCATTGAATAAGATGTCTAGACGCTTACTGGGGTGTCGATTATACGCGAGTGGAATGTTCAATGCCTGCTTCTCAGTGGAAAAAAATAGGCAGATAGTCTTCTGAAAGGTGGCGGCTGCCTAGTAAATTCATGTCCTGTCCGCTTTGTGTCCAGTATGTTGATCTTACTATTTGCACACTATTCAGTCGCTATTAATGGTCTCTAGAGGCGGTCGATGCACCTACCTGACAAACGAAAAATCAAGCATATATCTCATAGATTATATACGAAACAATTGACCACATATATTATAGTATTATGAAATTTTACTTAAGTAGTTGATTACATCAAAAAGCAGCGAGTTATTCAGATGGAGAGCACAAGCTTCTAATAAGTGGTTCTTTACAGATGCTTCCTACATGAGGTAAGTCGCCTTGTAACAGGGAAATCAAACTTGAGGTGTACTATGATCAAGAAAATCTTACTGAATAAAATATTAACTGATAGGAAGTGGCTACTACTCATTACCTAAAATTACTTGTTACTCCTATCTGCCTTTGCATTTGTAGTTCAATTTCTTCCTATACTTTGAATTTCAGGTGCAACCTGAGTTCTCGAAAACTCCATGTATCGAGCTCGCCTAAAATGGAATAAAACAAGAGAATATACTACGACGGACCAAATGCTTCCTCATTCCTGTCTCCACTTTGCTCAATATGTAAATGTTTTTCCAAGTCACCAGATTTTTTCAACTTCTTTTTTTATCATCATTCTTCATCACCCAGCCCACTTAACAAGAAATCTCTAACCAAATCCCCATTTTAATTCACTCAAGTCTTTTCTTACCCGCCTTTTCTATTTGCTTTAATCTCATCTTGTTTAGTCTGTCTTTCTAATCATTTCGACCCGTCGCGCCTCGGAGATTAATTTCTTCATAACTCTATCTCCCTGCTGTCACTTCATTCCCTTTCCTATAATTTTCTTCATGTTATAAGTAATCATTGCTTCGACAGTCCACATTATCCCTTTTAATAAATTCGTCCATGTATCTAGGATTTTTTGATTTATTGTATCGTCCCATACACTGAATGGGATTAGATCTATGCTTCTCACTTTTTGAGTTCTCATTAGGTGAATTGGTTAGAAT